TGGTGGCGTGGATGTCTCGTGAATGACCCAGATTCGCCGACTGCCACTGGCCGGACCACAGAGTGTGCGTCCAGCACGTGTCAAGATGATCGCGGTAGATACTCTGCGAACTCCTCCTTGTATGGGGACGGAAACGGGGATGGGGCTATGTGAACCCCCCTCCCCCTCCCCCTCCGCCACCTGCATCTGAATACCTGTCCTACAGAGGCAGTAAGGGACTGTCCAGTTTTTGCAGAGGTTACTGGTAATTCACGACCCCGCGCCCGAATTCTCGCCACTCCCCCCTCCATCGCAACGCTGCCGCTTCACACACTGTGCCTGTAGGGCAGCACTACACCTGGACTCACTGGAAGGGGAATTTGTGCAGATGCATAAAAGTTTGGTAGAGGGGAGCTTTGTGAAGTCAGTTGGCAGACGAATACGCTGTAGCGATCCACCAGGACAGAGTGATTTGCATTGTTTGAATACATGACGCCGGTGACTTCGATTTTTGATGCAGAGAGTGTAATTGGTGCGTCCTCGCAGTGAAGGTGCAGGATTATTCGAGCCCCTCCCTGGTGGTAGTCTCCAGTTCCACCCTCCCCGTTAGACAGTGATGAGTAGTGGTTGCAACTCCCGCGAGGACCTCAAAGTTTGACCTCCTCCCCAGTGGTAGTTTCCAACCCCACCTTCCCGGGTCAGCAACCATAAGTGCTCAACCTTCGTGTGAAGTTTCCTTATGAAGCCTTTATAATAATTTCCGTGTCTCTTTCAATAAAAGATCATACTCTACAATTCCCAGGATTATTATCGTGTGGCTATTGCCGATGACTAAAGAAGATTGTAGAGAACCAGTGTCGGTCAAAGATGAACCCAAGACACTGAACGAAGGCGAAATCTTGGATACTGGCATTATAGAGATGGAAACCACCTTACTAGATAACACCGCGTGCTCGAGCATTACAATTCAACTCACACAAACGCACACGACAGTTCCCCCGTCGAGTTCGACGATGGGCACGGCGTGCTCCAACAGCCCCAGCAAACGCTGAAGCAAGCTGCAACAGACACGGAGGCAAGCTGGGCAAGCGACACGAAGGCTACAGCAAGCA